GGCGCCGGGTGCCGCAGCAGCGGCTGCTGCTCCGCCAGGCGGTAGCTGATGGGCGCGGCTGGAGGCAGCGACACGGCGTGCGCCGAGTTGGGGGACGTGATCTCGAAAGTCGGCACCTGCGTGGCCAGCGAGTAGTGGAAGTCCACGGGCGAGAGGCGCGCGGGCGTGGTCAGGGCCGACACATACCTGCGGGGAGAGGCAGAGCCGTGGGCCAGGAGGTGGGGGCGGGAGGGGTCTGGACCTCCATCCCACCTGCAAGAGTCGCGATGTTAGGCATCGTCGGAAGCCCCAAACTGCCATGTATTCATTCCGTAGTGGGGGCGGGACGATTCCATCGGGGATTGGTGGGATGTTTTAGCCAAGTACCCCGCCCAAGGTTAGTCTCGGAGCTTGCTATGGGGATGGTTTCAGAAAACCAAAGCCACTGAGTCAATTCTGACGCATGGAGCAGCTGGGGGCTTCCGACGGTAACCACTGTGCAACGGGTCCGTAATTCCTTGGTAAGTGATCCTGCAGATCCTTATGTGTTCCCGTAAGGCACATAAGGAAATCCAAGACTCGGAACATTAAGGGCCTTACTTAAGGTCACGGAGGCGGGAAGTTGTAGATCTGAGATTTAAACCAAGGACCAGCAGGAACCAGGCCTCATACTGGCTAGTTCCAGAAGCCACTATTCCCAGTTCAGCGACCTAACCTGGACTCACTGCCCCTTGCCAGGGACAGTTCATCCCACAGCGTGATAGCTTCACCTGGGGAAGTATTCTTTCGTAAACCAAAGCCCAAAGTCACCTCGAGGAAGGTGCTTAGCCCTGGGCCACATAGTCACTGCAGGTGAACCTGCCTGGGGCTAAAAATCCCAGTTCCTCCAGGCCTTTGTTCTTGTTAATGTCTCTTGGGCTGGGTAACCTGTCTCTTTTCTTTCCCGACCTCCCCTACCCCTGCCTGCCAGCCATTCACTCCCTGCCCAGCCACTGCCCACCTCAGGGTGGGGTCCACCCACTTCCATGTCTTCCGTCCAGACTGTGGACTTGGCACCTTATTGCTCGCAGGAAGCAGCCCAGCACCTCCATGACGTTCTCGGAATCACCTGATGCCCCCTCTCTCCACTCGCATAAGCACATCCGAATAAGCACCAGGTCCTACCCCTGGCCTTTCAAGAGTGTACCTGCCACCTGCCCTACCTCACCGGGGACCAGTCGCCTTACTGTGGACACCCCCACACTCAAGGGCCTCTCTTGCGTCAGCCTTATTTCTGTGCAGTGCCCACAGCAACCTTTCAAAGACATAACTCGGGGAGCCCTCAGGGCCCATCTGGTCCCAGTTGCCTATTCAGGCCCAGCTCTCCTGCTCCCCACCGCCCACCTTGCCCCGGTGCTTCATCTCACCAGCCCTGTTCACAAGTGCCTTCAGAGGGTTCTTGCCTGGAAGGCATTTCTTTCCCATCTTTCTCTTACTTTCCCACCCATCATTTAAAAGCTCTTATTGCTGCCCCTCTCCCTGTAGTTATTAACAACAGCGACACTGGTCAGGTGAGAGATGGGTCTTGGACATCCTGGCTACTGTCCAGAGCCTACAGTCAGATTAGGTCTCGGCCCCTGGCCTGGCACGCTGAGTGGGGGCCATGTGCTTAACCCTTTCCCAGAAATAGCTGGGTGCTGCCAAGGCCTGTGTGTGGTTGGGCACTCCTGGGGAGCAGGAGCCAGTGTCCCATCTCTGTGTCTCCTTCCAGGGCCTGACCAGCACAGGGCTTGGCGTGGAGCAGGCCGCATTGAGACTAAGAGAGCATCTGCTCCTCCCCTCCTTCCCTGGCCTGGAGTTCCCAGTGCCCTTACCTCCTCCGTTCTTTTCCTATGGATGCCAGGGCTGAGCAAGAGTGGAGGCTGGGTGGCCGGTGGGGGCAGACCCTTGGTGATAATACTCTCCTGCTGGCTAGCGGCCAGGGAAGCAGATGCCTGGTTCTCCCTACCTCCGCTGCTCAGGAACCCTGCAGCACCCCAACTGTGGGGTCTTGTTGCTGATCCTGCTGGGCCTGCCGTCACTCTTGGTTCACGGCATCCTGCTCTGCTCAGGGCACACTGCCTGCCTCCCCCCTGTGCTGCCCCATCTGCACAGTCTCGGTGTCTTTCTGTTCCTCTTGGGACATGGGACAGCCATATGTCCATTTGTTCCTCTAAAGTGTCCCAGTATATTTCTCCAGCCTCCTACTACCATTGAGTGGATTCCAACTCAAAGTGACCCTATAGAGCAGCGGTTCTCAACCTGTGGGTTGCGACCCCTTTGGGGGCCGAACGACTCTTTCACAGGGGTCGCCTAATACATCCTGCATATCAGATATTTACATGACGATTCATAACAGTGGCAAAATGACAGTATTGAAGTAGCAACGAAAGTCATTTTATGGTTGGGGTCTCCCCAACATGGGGAACTGTACGAAAGGGTCAAGGCATGAGGAAGGTTGAGAACCACTGCTCTAGAGGGTTTCTGAGGCTGTGAATCTTGACAGGAGCAGACAGCCTCATCGTTTCTCCCATGGAGCAGCTGGTGGGTTTGTACTGTCGACCTTGCAGTTAAGGGTCTAACACTTACCCAGCAGGGCCACTAGAACTCCTTAAAGTGTCCCAGTGAAAAACCAAACCAAACCAAACTCACTGCCAATGAGTTGATTCCGACTCACCGCAACCCTCTAGGAGTAGAACCCCCTGTGGGTTTCCAAGACTGTCAATCTTTATGGGAGTAGAAAGTCTCATCTTTCTCCCATGGAGTGGCTGGTGGTTTTGAACTGCAAACCTTGTGATTTGTGACCCAATGCATAACCCAGTACATCGCCAGGGCTCCTAAGTGTCCCAGTCGGACAATTCAATTATCTGGTCACCCCACACCAGGCCTCACTGACCTAGCAGGAACTCAGTCTGGCCCTGATCAGACTCCTTAAACTCTGGAGGACCTTGTCCGTCCAATTGAAAAATAGGCTGGGACTCTTTCTTTGGAGTGTCTCTGAGTGCCCCAAGTGTCCGCTCGGGGTCAGCAGTGCCAGCTTGGAGATATACTAGGCCGTGGGGTAAGGACTGACCTCTCGCTGTGCGGGGAGTCTCTTAAGGAGTCTATGGAGTCATGGTAAGGGGGTGCGGCTGCCCTGCGCTGCTCCTCCAAGCTATAGGCTGCTGCCCGCCGTGCCCGGGCTTCCACGCACGCTGGGCTGTTGCACTTGCTGGTGCCCACTGATGACAGCATGATGCCTGACTGGGAGTCAGAGGTCATACTCTCTGAGCGCTCCATGCTCCATGTGTGACTCTCATGCCTGCGGAAGCCAGGTGGGGGCAAGAGGTTAGGATGGCTGAGCCCATAGCTACCCCCCACCCCAACTCTTCAGCCCACCCAGGGCTCCCTTAACTCATCGCCCACCTCCACTCTGGACCAACTGGTGATTTCCCAGATGCCCAGCCGTGATCTGGTGAGAAGGGGAGGATCTGTCCACCCCCCCACAAGGCTCTCTGTCACTTCTCTCACAGAGCCCAGCCCCAGTGACCAAAGGCGGGAGGGGGGGGGATGGGGAGGGGCAGGGAGAGGGCTGCCTAGTCCTTGGACTGCCCAGGGGAGAAAGGGACCAGCCAATTCCTCTGAGCTGTCACGTTCGGACAGGCTTGCCCAACTCCAGAGACCAGGCTCCAGTGGCCAGTGATCCACAGGGGCAAGCAACCCCGGGGGTGTTTGAATGAGGAGACACTGTGCCAGGTAAGGCCAGGGAGAACGAAAGCACCCAGGAAGCAGGGGCCAAGGGATGCAGTGGCTGCTCTCACCTCCTCCCTCCTGGGGGCCCTCGGGAACCAGGAGACAAAGCCTGCAGACAGGAATCAACAAGCACTGGTGGGAAGGGAGGGCCCACCTGTGGCTGGAGGTGGGCGTGGCGGTGGAGCAGTGGTGGGAAGGAGAACAGGAGTGGCTCCCAGAGAAGGTGGTCTCCGTTTCCCTGCGGATGACGTGGTCTGTGGCTGGCACGTTCTTGGAGATGTACTGGAACATGGGGTTGGGGGGGCAGTGTTAGTGATGGGTACCTCCTGGTGGCAACAGGGGAGTGTGGGACCCGCGTGCTAGGCTGGGAGGGCTCTGTGGATGGGAAGTGACTTCCTATTGGAGCAGTGATGGCCCCACACCAAACTCCCTTCCTTCTTTAAGAAAGCGGGCAGAGCAAGGTCAGTCTGGCAGGTGGGGCTGATCGAGGGCTGGGTGGGCACCTGTCCTGGCCCACGCTTGCAGGGGTGGGTGTCCAGTGAAGGTCGGAGAGGCCCTGGGAGTGCCACTCACATCTGCCATCTGGATCTCCTCAGGGTCCAGCCGGGGGTGGCTGGGCCCATTGGCCAAGCTCCGGTTCTGGTGGGCAGGGCACATGTTCTGCCTGAGGTGGTTGTGCATCTGCTTCCGCTGTTTCCTGTGCAGGGGTGGGGTGGGGTGGGGTGGAGTGGGTGGGATGGGGGGCTGGTTTAGTCCGGGGCTCTGCTCCAGCCCCCAACACAATGTGCCAACTGCCCTAGCCGCTCCCCACCCTGCCCTGCCAGCGGCCCACTGCTACCACTGCCCAAGTTCAAGCTGCCTGATGCAGGACCCTCCCCAACAGCTCCCACACCATCCCGCAGGCTGCACCCAGTGGCACCGAGCGTTGGCTCTGGTAAGAGAGCAGAGGCCCACTGCTTTCTAGGTGGGTGCCCCTGGGCAAGGCACTGTAGCTTCCTGGCTTCTCTTTCCTCGGCTGTAAATGGGGTGTGGGGGGTGGGGCTTGGAAGACAAGACGTCTACCAAACGTTCTAGCACAGCCGCTTTTATGGTGTGACAGGCACAATTGTGCACCTTGGCTACAGGGCTGGGAACAAGACTGTAATGGGCCCCTGCCCTTAGGGAGCTGGCAGGCCAGCTTGTGAACACATACATGGATAAGATGCTTTTGAGAAAGGGCCGGCAGGGAACTAAAGAGGGGCCTGTCGTCAGATGACCACTATCTGAGGGGGGGGAGGGGTCGGCGCTGCGTTACCTTGCACATAGTAAGTGCTCACTCAACCCACCTCAGAAGCAAACCTGATCATGTCATCCCACCCTGGATAAAGCCTGCAAGGGGCCCCCAGCACCCTGCTTTTCTCTCCAGCCTTTTCGCTCACTGCCCTCCTCTGACTCTGTGGAGGGGTGTGTGAACTGCAGCACCCGGCTTTCTCTGGCCTTAAGCCCAGCCCACCCGGGGCCATCTTCCGGGACCACGCCTCTGCCTCTTCTGGGGAACCCTCCTTGCTCTCCTACCGACCGAGGTTAGGCTCTGCTGAGTTTGCTCTCGACACTGGACCTGCCATTTGGAGCACTGGCCACACGGGTGGGCCAACTGGTCACGTGCCTGGTGTCCAGCGGACCCTGGATGGACGCTTGTTGAAGAAGCCAGTAAAGCGGCTGGGGTCAGAACAGGAAACTCAGCCCCTCCCGTTCTTATCCTCCAATTCCACCCTTTGCCTGGGCCCTGGCTACTTCTCTGGGCTCCCTGACGCCAGCTCTCTCCCTTGCCCCTCTTCTGCCTTATCTGGTCCTGGAAGGAGGGGCTTGGAGCCCACACCCGAGGCTTACTCCCCAGAACCGGGAGGGTGGGCTGCAAGCTCATTTCCCAGCACGCTGTCACTCGCTGGCCGGCCTGGGCTAGTTCCCTTCCCGCTGCAGGAGAAACTGGCCTCCCTGTCTGACACACAAGCCCCCAGCATGTCCTTGGAGCCCAGCTGTCCTTTCAGACTAATGTCTCCCCTTCTTCCCCCGACCACAGCCCTTTGCTCCCATCAGTGGGGTGCTCACCCCAGGGTCGGTTTGTTTCTCTGCTCGTGCTCCTCTCTGAGAACAGCCCTGCTCCCCTTGCTGCGCATTCAGTCCCTGCCCCACCTCTGTGGGCTGCTGTCTAGACTGCTCCCAGGGGCTCAGGCTGTGCCTCGAGGTCTCTTTTCTCCCCTAGGTGTGGGCCTTCCTCGCCGCACCCCTCCCCTGCCTCGGTGCCCAAGTCAGTGGCACACTGCCTCAGACCCTCACAATATCCCATGAGGGGCACACCAGGCTCGTTCCTGTTGTACACTAAGACCCTGACGCGCAGAGAGGCCCACCCAGTGTGCACGATGGCAGAGCTGGATTTGAACCCCGGCCCGCCTTTGTCCAAAGCCTTAGGGTATGCCCATTTCCTCTCCTCATCTTGCCCCTCTCAAGCCCTCCCCCGTCTGCCAGCCTCTTGGCCTAGCCCCGTGACTAGGGTGTGTGGGGCTGAGGTCTGGCACAGTTGGCCTGCTCTATGTGCTTGCACTCACTTGGTCTTGCAGTAGGCTACCACACAGACGATGCCCACGACCAGCAGAGCCACGCAGATGCCAGTGATGGTCAGGACCCGCTTCTGGTACAGCTCCTCAGCTTCTGCAGAGGCGGGGTGGGCATGAGGGATAGGACAGGAGGCCCACTCCGGGGGCTGTGATGTAGAGTCTCCCCCACCATCCCCCCTCACAAAGTCCAGCCCCCTCAGCTCAGGCCCCTCCCTGATGACCTTCTACTCCTCAACCCTTCTACTCCTCGACTCTCCCTGATGGCCCACCTTCCTCGACCCTCACCCTCCCAAGGATCTGGTCACACACAGTGACCCTAGATGCCCCTTCCCAAGCCCACACCCTTGCCGGAACACGTGAGTGATGGGATGGAGTGGTAGGATGAGAGGAAGCCCGGAAGGCCACAGGGCAGGGGTGCGGGCAGCCAGGCAACCCTGTCCCACTTCACTACAGCTCGGTGGCTGCAGAGATCTCTGGTGGGCTGGGTGGGGGGTGTTCCTAAGGGCAGTTAATATATAAACCCTGGGCAAAGGCCTGGCTCGGACACCTGGCTCAGGTGGAGAGAAGGCTTGTCCTGGGCTGCTGGCAGGACTCAGGCGCAGAGGCTGGACTTCAGAGGGAAGCCAGGGCCAGGGCAGAGACAGTGCAGACCAGGCCCCTGGGGGAGCGGCCGGGAGAAAGGGCTTTGCTTCCTCCTGCCCAGAGCCCTCCCTGGCCACAGCCTCCTCACCAGTAGCCAGCGAGTTAGCACAACCCACAGACTTGCTGGGCAGCCCTGGCCTGGCTGTGGAGCGGAGCAAGACGGCCTCAAAGTCCCTAACACCGTCAGTCTATCTCCAACCCCTGCTCCTTTGTGGGGCAATACCCACTCTTCTAGCACAGAGGGAGCGGGAGAGAGAAAGGAGAAGGTGATAGTATAGCCACAGTCTAGGGTATACAGCCCAGAGCCTGTCCCTTCCCTTCCCCCAGCTCAGGGAGAAGGAGAGACAACCCTTCATGTTCCTAACCTGCTGTGGCAAAGGGGCACGGAGCCTCGTGACACACAGACAGACCCCTTCACAGAGACATGCTCACGAACATGGCTGGAGGAACGAACTACCCGCTCTAATCACAGGCACATAGACACAATCGCGTGGCAGCTTAAGCAAACACCTCCCTGCAGGTCCACGTTCCCATTTGCTCGTCAGTCCTCTCTAGACAGCTGTCCCCTTCAATCCTTGGAGACCACCGTGGGCATGGTCATCAGAAATGGCCATGGTATGTCACGTCCCATGGTCAGAGCCCCTCTCTCAGCCGGCCCCCTCCTTCTGACAGCCTCCCCTTGCCTTCTGGGTGCCCACTTCCTCCTGGATGGCCTATAGCTTCATTGGCTGATCCTTTTTTATACTGTCACTGCTTCCGCCTCTTCTAGCCAGTTGCCGACCCTGCTCGGTGGCGTCGGGGTGGAACTGGGCTCCGTGGGGCTTCCAAGGGGAAGGTGACATGTGCAGACCTTTCACTTTAGGCACCTCTGGGTAGAATCCAACCTCCAACCTCGTGGTGAACAGCGGAGGGCATTAACGGTTTGTGCCATCCAGGGACCCCCCTCCCCCTTCTACCTGTGTGGCAATACCAGGGCCTGGGACTCCTTGGCCCCTCACTCTGGCCTCTCTCCTTGAGAGTCCTCCCGGCGCTGCGAGGCACCCTCCTGCCCCAAGGAGTTATGGTGTCAGCGTCCCACCCGACCCACAGGGTCGAGATGAGTCAGCAGTCGCTCGATGGCAGTGAGTTTGGTGGTCTGGACTCTCAGAAGTTCTTGAAAAAACGGAGCGGAACCATCACGGAATGCTCCCATGGGCTTTCTGAAGCCCTCTCGTAGCTCCTGCCTCGACTGTCCTCTCTCGAAGCTCCTGACTCAGACATCCAAGGATCCAGGGTCAAACA